AACTTTTTTTTTTTTTAAAGTTTTGACATGTGTATTCTTTTAGAAAGATATAGACTTGTGAACATGGAGACTTCTTTTTAGTAGCCGTTGTTTCATAAAAGATGTAGACTTTGATATCAAGTCTTTTAATGATATTTGTTATTGGTTTTCACATTGAACTAGTTATACACATTCACAGGGCAATGAGTTTTAATACCATTGTTGTAGTCAACTTTAACTATAAAATTTAGATTTCTAGCAAAATGTATTGGCAAGGATTGCTCCACTGCTTTTGCAAAAGCATAAGGTTTATACAATGTGCATTTCTCCATATGCTACTCTGGTGACAGTTACCTAGTCCTATCATAAGTGCAGAATAATAGCGTTAGCCTGTGATTTGAGATTATGGTTGGAGTTCATGATTTGTTTTTGATAGTTTTGTATGCGCCGCACACAATGTAATTAATGGATTGCATTTTCTATGTAGTTAAATCGGTTTAGTGTCGTGTGCCCTGATACCCAATATTGCCATATTAATTGATTGAAAATGATATATTATTTTTGTCCTTGTTTTTTTAATTTATTTTTCTATTTTATGATGTGCAGTTAGTTTTATTGATGATAATAGTTTCTTCTTAGGTACTGGAAGTTGTCTCTTATGGTGCACCCTGACAAATGTTCTCACCCACAAGCCCATCAAGCATTCGTTAAATTGAACAAAGCTTTTAAAGATTTGCAAGATCCAGATAAGGTGAGTGTTTAAAATTATTGAAGCCTCTAGTTAATTTAAGAAGCTTTCCATTGCCCTTTTGTTTCATTCTATAAGTTTTCACAGAGTTTTTAAGAATATTAACTCAATAAAAAAAATTAGTAGTTATTCCATAATAAGTTTACATCAAAGAGTTCTCTGTATTGTAATTAATATTGAAGCTCAGTTCATGTAGCTAAAGAAATGCAATCACCAAATTTTGTTATTTTAGCCCCTGTTTGATGGCCATTATGAAGAGAAATTGGGGCAAAATGATGTTTTGAACAGTGATTTTTTGGAGATTGTGTGGTTAAAAATTAGAGGAAAAATTTTGGATTTACGTGTAAAATATTTTATAATGCGAATGTGTACTTGAAAATGAGTAGGAGAAATAAAGAATTTTAATTTAGAGAGAGTCAAACAGGGGCTTAATCTGCCATTGACACTTGGCATTAGAGTACATGGCAAGGTGTATTCAACTTGGGCTAGCATTTTCTGTAAAGGCAGGGGTTAGCAGTTTGGAAGAAAAATGATAGTGAATTAATTGTGTGTAATCTTTCATAATTTGTTCAGATTAGATTTGGATATAGTTACTCTAATTGAGTCAATAGACCTCTGTCACTTAATTTCTCTCTCCGTGCAATCATAGTTGAATAACGCGTTTCTGGTATAAATGAGGAGTGGCTACTGGTTATGTAGGTTTAGATAATTATGATCCATTATTACTCTTATGCATTGAAGACACTAGGACTTCTGACGTAGGCTTGAGATTATATGAAATTATTTGATTGAATCTATTATGATTATTGTCCTAAATGTAACTTTATGCATAGTTTAAGTGGTTTGTATTATGTTTACTGTTAGAGAAAAGCGTTGGACGAGAAAATAACACTCAAGGAGGAACAAGAGGAATTTAAGGTGCATTTTCGGCATAGCTATGGTCTAGTTAGAGCTTAAACGAGTTTCTTTATAATTTCCCTCAAAAATATTTTAATCCTGTAGGCAGAATTGAAAGCCATGCGTGAGGCTGCACAATGGAGACGTTTACAAGGTTTGCATATACTCCCAACTTTTAATGTGATTGGTTTTGTTTGACTCCCTGGCCCTGCCCTCTTCTGGATCTCTCTCTCTCTCTCTCTCTCTAGCACAGATGCACTTTAGAAAGAGCAGGATCAGAATCTAATTCAGCACATTTTGCATAAAAACAAGAATTGAAGCAAAATTATTTATTTATTTATTTTTTATTCTAAATCGAACCAAATTCGATCCTGGCAAAATTCAGTTTTTGTGGGTTGATTTGCTCTATTCAAGCTTCTAAGCCCATAGGAGAACAACTAATCTCCACAGACACTAGTGAGGAATTGAAAGCTACCAAAAACCGAGGGGTTATAGTGTGATGGGTCATGTTTGCTTGATTTCTTGAAAACGGGATGCATTTTTTGTTAAGACTCAAAATTAACATTTTTGGCTAAGCCTAAAAAGTTCAACTTTTAAGTAAAAAGATGGTTTAATAAATAATTTACTGGTTAAAGTTGGAAATAGGTAATTTACTATTACTAATTGTTACTAAGGCACTTAACTTCAAATATAAGTAACTTCTTCACTTGAAAGAGAAAAAAAAACACAACACATTTTAATCCTTTTAAGCTTATTAGCCAAACTTGTTCCTTAATTACATTAACCTGTGCACTCTATTTCTTAATTTTTTATTCCTTGTGGTGCATAATGGTTATGATAATTTACTTGTTATTGAGATGGGTATGCTCTTTGCATTTATTTATTATTATTATTATTTTTTCTTTTTCTTATCATTTTGGAAGTAGGTACTTAGATTTCAGCCTTTCAACATTTTTCTTCATTCTATTTTAAATACAAAAAAATAAAAAGGGAGCTTGTCCTTTGGTGTCCAACTTGTGTATCGCTTTTTGTTTGGATTCTCTACTTTGTGTGTATTCCAGCAACGGAAATGTTTCTTTATTGTGAGGGAATTATGATCTCAATGTGAAAACCAGATTACTGTTGGTTGCAGGTATAACCATGGAGGGTGATGACATCCTCTTGGCTGAGATGGATGTTAAAGTCGCGCCAAAAAGAGAAGAATGGATGACAACATTACCACCTGAAAGAAAAGTAAGGGTCAATTCTATTTTTTCCTCCTGCCCCTCATCTATTTATTCTCTCTGAAAAAAACTTTGCATTGAAAAAGTTACCTGTTCATGAGCCTTTATCATTGTCCTTTCTGGTTCCCCATCTGGGATTAAGAGCAGCATGTTTGTGTAAGCTTAAAAAGCTTACAAGTTCAATATAACTTCTTTCTATTTCTAAAAGTTGGAGAGGAATAAGTTACTTATTGTTATAATAATGTAAGAGTTACTTTCATTAAAGCGTTTAAATAATTGAGTTTTAAAACAAAATTTTTATTGGTCATAGTTAAGTTAATGGTTACTTTTAAAATAAATAACCTTCAAGTAATGCAAAATGCCTGGAAACATACCTAGCAAACTCTACTCTAGGTCTACCAATGCTGGACGTGCACTAATTTATTAATGCGGTAGAAAGTGGAGATCGTGTATTGTTAATTTTCTAGTAATCCTGGGAGTAAATTGTGAAGTTTTACTCCCCGGCTGAACAAAATTTCTTGTCCTTGCTGCTGTAGAATAGGCTCAGATGAAGCAGCCTGCAAGATATGAATAGGCATTAGTAAGAGATGTAGTTTCATGTCTGAAATGTTATTGAACTCGCTGTTTTTGTTTCTCACGTGATTCAGGGCACTGAATTGAATTTTTGAAGTTGTTTAATAAACGTCAAAATGCTGCTATTATATTTCTTTTGTTCCTTTTCAGGTTATAATATTTATGATGAGAAAACTGAAATTAAACGTGTTCAGAATTTGCAAATCTACTTAAAAAAGCTTAAAAGCATGAAAAATAATTAGTTTCGGTATCAAAAGTTCAGTACTCAGTACTTAAACTGTTCATGACTTGTCAATTCGATCTGATAAATTTCTCTTCCTCAGCCTGGTATGACCATGCAGTCGACAAGGTTTAGCAAGAGCTCGAAAGAAGGACGAGGTGATACCAGTGCCTGGACGGATACTCCTTCAGAAAAGGCTCAGAGAGCAAAGATGAAGTATGTGAAACTTTTAGTTTGCTAATGTGCATGATCGTTTTGGACTTTGTTTTCTGAAACCGAGATGTTTGTGGCAGTTACTTAGAAGCCTACAATGAGGCTACTGCAATTGCTTCGAAGGAGCATGAAAAGAAAACTGTAAATATGGATGCTGAATTGGTGGACCAGTATAATAAAGCAAAACGATCAAAGTCATTGGTTGAAAAGAATAAAGAATCTGCCAAGAGTAGTTCAAAGAAAAAGTCGAAGCAGGAAGCAGTGAAAGAGGAATGGGAGGGAAAACATCCATGGAAACCTTGGGATCGGGAAAATGATTTGACTGCAGGAAGGCAAAAAGTTAAATTAGACGCTGAAAACATGGCTGCAGGTCTGACTTCCAGATTTGCCTCAGGATCCTTTCAAAGAAACTTCCTCTAGAGTGTTGATTATATTGAGTCGATGGATTCAGCATGACGAGTTAGTTTGTTCTTCAAGCTTCGTTGTTGTCTAGAGCTCTTGTGCTGAATCTGTTTTAAAGATTATCATAGTTTTTTTATTCTCTTAATACTTGCATGTTAGTTATTGTAGCTCCATCTATAGCGCATGTTCGGTACACACTGAACACGAATATTATAATGAATAAGATTTCAGCATTGTTGTTTTCATCATGTTGAATCTGCAGCTTGATATATCCCCATTAACTCCGTTTATTGGACATGTTTGTTACACGTTGAATTGGGATAGTATAACGGATAAAAATTTNCAGCTTGATATATCCCCATTAACTCCGTTTATTGGACATGTTTGTTACACGTTGAATTGGGATAGTATAACGGATAAAAATTTTGCATCGTTTTCACTGTGCTGAATCTGGTAGGTCGATTGCCATTGATTTTTATTTAGGGCTTGTTTGAGTCACATTATTATCAAAAAAATACATTCTTCAACAGTAATTTAACATCATTTCGACCATCCATTTGTCAATAAAATAATATACACGCAAATTTAAAATTTTTTCTTATTTTTTAACCACATATTTTCCATTGATTTGACATGAATAATGTATTTTTTTTTCCTAAATGAGGCTTAAACATGGGCTTAATTTTTACTCAGTACTTCGTAACGGAAGTTTCATATGTTCTATTGGCTCCATATGTAAGATCTATTTAGTGCACACTACTAGAGTGAACTAGATCGTATAATAGATAAGATTTACATTTTTTGTCCAATAATATTGTCCAGTATCTTAATTTCATCTTGCCAAATATGCCATACTTAATTTTTTATACATCATATGTTTCATGGTTGGATTTAGATTAAACCATGGATGCATTTTGGTTGCAGATTCATTTTAAAAGTGTTAAGAGTCTACCAAATACTTACGAACATTTGAGTATTTTTTGGTTCTCTTTTTATATCAAATAATTTTGTACAAGTGCACTTGTATTCAAACACCATGACTTGTGATAAAAATATCTCAAGTTTTAAACTTTATTTTCCTTGAATATAAAACAAATCAATATATCACGTTTTACTCCATTACATTATTAAGGTCTTGTTCGGTCCTTATTTTCTAAACTTCATTTTCAATATACATCCTCCCTGTGAAATAATTTTACACTTGGGCTCATAATTTTTTCTACTTCATGTTTTGTGGGTTTTTTTTTTTTTTTTTTTTTTTTGGGTGCCTTCACGTCTATTCTCAAAAATTCATTGAAAAATCAAAGCAATTGATTGGACAGCCACCAAATTTAAAGAAATAATGCAAAAACACCTGCCTTTAAGTAAAGAAATATATGTGCCAACACTTTTAAGCCTCTGTGATCATTGCTTGCATAGTCCCACTTACAATGCAAGCAAAGGCCAATAGCATAAATTGACTTTCATCTTATACAAACTAAACTAATAATTGTACATGCATTTCTTAATTTCTTCTTAATTTCCTATTTTCTAGTATGTGGAAACGTACTTCGACACGAAAAAAATTTGATGCATGTGTCGACTCACTCATCTTATAACTTAATTATAAATATGTAAACGTAAAATAAAATTATCATAGATTTTTTAGACTGAAAATGATAATCAAAGAGTGTGGAGACATCATTATCAACCTTAGTTGAAGCTTCCCTTTACTTTCTAGAAACTTGTTAAGACATTTTTTAAAGATTAATTAATCGGGTTAAATCCAAATGATCCCTCAACTTTATACTTACTATCCTCATGATCAACCAATTTGATTTTATTTCACTATGGCCACCAAACTTTATACTTACATTATCATGGTCATCCAATTTGATTTTATTTCACAATGACCATCCAATTTCATATAACGTCTAACCATGGCCATCCAACTTCTTTTCACAATTTTCTCTAATTTTAAAAATGGGTAGAACTATAACTTTGCATTATATATATAAAATAAAATTAAAAAATAAAATAAAATAAAATAAAATATTTTTAAAAGTTTAAATAGTTAGAAATGAGAATACACTTATTTTTCAATAAGTGTATAGAGGGTCCCACAAACCGCCCCGAAAAAGCTTGTTGCTTGGTTCGCACTGTTATTTGTTAGCTAAAGCGACACCCACCACCCCTCTAAATTTGACGAACATTTTTTGTTTAAAAAATGTTAAGGACTCGAACAAATTGTAAGCTTGTTAGTTAAATAAACATTTCAGAAACGAGATGGGTGGGCCAAAATTAATGTTGTAAAATTTGTAGGAAAATTCGCATTGTTAGAAATCTATTGTGTCATTAAGAAGTTGATTCTTAATAATTAAAAAGTAATAAATCAGTCAACAACTTATCATTATAGTTGCACAATTAACTATTATTAAGAGCCGTTCAAATTCATGTTAAATCGTCTCGTAAACCTAGGGACGGAGCCAAGAGAATAGAGTTGTGAGAGCAAATTTTTATTGTGATAGCAAAATTGAAAGGTATAAGGATTTGATTAATTAATTTATTTTTTTTTGGAAAATCTTGAAAAATATATTGCAAAATATTAAATTCCAAATTTAGTGTAGGGGTAGTCGGGCCACTGTAGATCCGCCCATGCGTGATCCTCGCTTATCCAACTTAATGAAACTAGATTATACTTCTCAACTTGGATTAGTATTTAGAAATTCGCAATTAGCATATTTGTACAAGGATCACATGTCAATTTGATGAAAAAATCTAGACGATCTTGTTACGAGGGATTGATCATGTAACTACAATGATATGTTAGGTAGTCCGAGGAATGCCATCGAGCAACCAATGAAGTCTTTCCTTCAGCCATCAAGGAATCAAGCAGAAAGTTCAGTCTTTTCAGGTGAATGGGTGAGTACGAAGTCACATGCCGAGTGGATTAAATAAAAAAAAAAAAAAAAAGGAAAATTCCCATCACGGGGTTTTAATTTTGCAACTGTTATTAAAGAATAATATTTATACGCTTATTTTTAAATTTCAAGCGAGACAAATTTTCATGAGCGACGTTCACTATTTTGACGATTTCATCGTGAGAGACTCATTATGCAAATATAATAAAATCTTGAAAATATAAAATAAATTGAGAACTAATGGTGCAAGTTTCTTCAAAATTTTAGTTGCGTGGGGATCTTCAAAAGAAGTAGCCACTAATAGAACGAAATGACAAAAAATAATTCATATGGCCAATGTAAAAGGTTCAATTCATTATTGCAGCAGTTCTCCCAATTGTTTTCGTACTTGTAGACTTAGACATATCCTCCTCGAATTCTTGTGGATCATTCACAGTCAGAACGATTTCTACGTTGTAATTGCGAATATTTAATTAACTTATATTATTTTTCAATACATGCAGGGATGTACGAAAACGAAATGATGAAATTTTGATTTTAAATATGAAGTTTAATTTAGCCCTTTCTTTTCTTTAAAAAAAAAAATGTATTTTAAACATTATTTTGATATCATTTCATCAACACATTTTTCAATAAAATAATATTACACGCAAATTCAAATTTTTTATTTTTATTTTTTAATCACACATTTAACATCATTACATCATTCAAAAATGTATTTTTAGGGCATAAAATGAGACTCAAACAAGGACTTACTGTTTCTTATAATCTCGTTTTCGTCTGGTTACTTTTAAGCATACCATCCTTGATTTCTCATAGATAGAGGAATATCCAACATTTTGGGGACAAAGAGCTAGTACTAAATTTGAGATTTAAGGTTTTAAAATTTCTTAAAAATAATAATTATTAATTTTACCACGAAACCTTAAAATTTGGGAAAAAGCTGTTGTGACAGGGAATTGGAAGAACTTTTAAATTAGGTACTGCGTGGCAACACGTGACTGGGTACTTTTTTTTTTTAAACTAGCCAATTAGATGTTGACATGTGGCATCTGGATTTAATCCCTATCTCCATTACCTGTTTTTTGTAGCAAAACTCATTTGCCCTTTCTTTGGGTGTTTTTCAATGGTTGTTTGTAAGTAGTTACAAGTATCAACTATATAATTTTATAATTTTTCAAAAACCTTATAATGTTGGTAAGTGTAAAATTATATTTTATTTAGAATCATGTAAGTTACCTTTCCTTACAAGTAAAAAATAAAATAAAATAAAATTTTAAAAGTGGAATAGAGATTAATTTCAAAATAAACTACTTATTGTTTTCGACTTTATCTTAAAAATATATATTTTTTTAATGCTTATTTACTTTCCAATTCTCCTTGCTTTATCAAAAATATATATTTTCTAGCAACTAGATATTTTCATGTTCTTTCAAATGATATATATATATATTCCCATTTTCTGTGATTTTTTTTAATAGTTTAATTGTATAATCAGTTCAGGACATTCTTTCTATATGATTTTTTGTCACGCAAGAAAAGGGTCTATCTTGTGCTGAGGCTCATAATTGATTTTTTTTTCTTGCTTTTAATTAATCAAATCTGTAAATAAGCAGAAAAGTAGGATCCACACCATATTTAATCAAGTAGATATTGAAAAATAATTTAAAACTTATAAAAGGGAAAGTCGGGAGGTCATAAAAGATTTTAGCCCCCATTTGACCCCCATTTTTTGAAATGAAAATGAGTAAAATAATATTTTTTTAATAAATGAGTAGTTGAAAAAGAATAAAAAATTTTTGATTTATATATAATATTATTTTATAGAAGATTGAGTGGTTGAAAATAAAAAAGAAAAAAAATAGAATGTAATGTAATGGTGGTCAAACGGGAGCTTAATAAATTTATCATCTTGAAGTTACATACTTGAAACTGATTGGTGGGAGCCATGGGTCCTCAATAAATTCTTCTATCTAAACTTATGGAGCCACGACTCGATTTATGGACACCCAAGACGATTTGAAAGGAACAAGAGTTGATCTAATACCTATATTAATGTGTTTCAGGTGTTCTAGTTTTGAGTATTATCCCTTCTAATATTTGTGTCAATTCCGTGACTTCGACTATAATGAAATATGAAAATTTGAGATAGTATTTTTTTTTTTAAACATGTATTTTCCAATAATAATCAATTTCTGGCAAGTAATAAAATAATGCAATAAATTAGTATTTATGCCTACTACTTTTATGAATGATTTATTTCCTTCTTTTTTTTTTTTTTTTTGGTACACACATAATGGAAAAATTGACCTTTTCAACTTGATAAAAAAATAAATAAATTAAATTTAAGATTTATTTTGTGAAATTTTAAAATTGATAAATAAAAGAGGAAAGCTCATGTAAAAAAATTACAACGATACTTTCACACATTACGATCATATGAGAGATATTTCTATTTTCTCTCACAAGTGGACCCCACTTTTCTTCTAACGGTTAAAAAAAATTAATTCTCAAAATCACTCTCAAACAGGCTCTAAATGTAGAAATATGTAGAAGCCAAAAAGTGCACCTTTTCTATCCTGTGCAAACTAAAAAGTGTACATTTTTATTTATTTTTTAATGTCTTTCTATTTATATATTTTCTTTTTGTTGTGAATCATACACTTTCTTGCTAGATGATGCAATCTTTTTGGGTGTAGGACACAATGTCTTGTCCCCATTAGTATTTTACAGCTCTTGTAGTTGTAGGGTTAAATATATCGTGAATTTTTTGTGGGTTTTACATACATCCGGCAATTAAACATAGATTTGTGAAGACTTGTTATCTAAACTTTTTTGAACAAATATGAAGTTATTTTATTTAAGTTTTGTAAAGCTTTTAAGTTTTCTCTGCTTTTACACGAACAATCTTTTAAATTTGACTGCTTTCCCGTTATTTTCATGTGGAAAAATATTATTGATTTCTAGTAGTCATAATAAAATTTGCAAGTCTTAGCTAGGAAGGTTTCTATTTTATCATATGATGACCAATCGAACTATAATTATTTTGTTTAATCATAGGACTTTACCATTTGTACACTGAATTCATATACTTTGATTGACAATTGCATTGTTGTCAACAATGTGTTGAATGTTAAAACTGTTTAAAATTTTTAAACTATTCAATTGAGTAATACCACATGACATAGTGTGAATCAAAATGTAAATCAAAGTATATATGTAGCGAAAGTTCTTAATTATAGAAGAAATGTTATTTAGCATCACTAGAGCTACAACTCCAATCTAGGTGATCTTAATGTGACATTAAATGATAAGTGAAATTAAATGAATCTTTTAATTCCACCTATTATTTAGCTTATTGTCTAACACTGCCTAGATTGGAATTGTAACCCTAATGGAGTTACATAACATTACTCTAATTATAGCATGCAAAAGAATAAATCTTCTTGGACAGGGCCACGTAATTGGCACGTCTCGAGCCCTCCCAAATAGCGCCCTGCTTCTCATGCAAAAAACATAGAATTTTAACGTGTCATCCACGTGGCAGCTTGTTGAGTGGCCACTTGTCGGTGGGCTACATCCCAAACAGACAACAATAAGGATGCATTTGATTGCAAGTATGAAATTTGAATTGAAAGAAAATAAATTTTAGGTAATTTAATTTCTTAGAATTTATTTGCACGAAATTTATCAATTAAATGTGTTTGATTGACTTAATTTTCAACCTAAAAAATATTATACTTGTCCATTTGGAAAATATTGACAATCAAACATATTCTAACTAGATTGCGGCAATAGAAAATACTTATTGGAAATGGCAATGACAAAATGATAAGCACTATTGTCAAGGATAAATATGGGAAAATTGCAACATTTCTCCCCAACTTATTGCTCCTTCATCAAGTACGTCCTGACCTTTAAAAGAGAATTGACTCATTAAACAACTTTTTATTAAAACTGCAAAATTAATCATAATGTGTAATGACAAAAACCATCTAATTCTTCATTAAACAGCATATTCGATTTCAAATTGTTAGTAACAAACTTAAGTAGGTAAACAAAATCTAGTTTCATAAGTTGGACATGTGGAATCAGCTAGATGATTTAACAAATTTTTTAACTCTCTCTCATTGAAGATTGATTTACTGAAACGTTGATGATCAACTTGTTACTCTGACAAATTTCCTTAAATTCTCTTTTGAACAACTTATTTTTTAGATGATATGGTTCAACCTACTATTATTATAATAGTAAAGGGTCCTAAATTATAGTTTTACCGTCACCCGATAATCAAAATTCTGCGTGTGCGTACGCTAAATCCAAAATTAAAATAAATAAATTGTTTAAATTTTGAAATAAGGTGATTAAAAGGAAGTAGTGGGAAAACCTTAGGGCACACTATAACGGTGGAGGGTTGACGTGAAAATTTGGTACCCCGCCGTCCAAATAAAATCCAATCTGCTGCCACCACCCACGCGCAATGAATAACAATATGAATGTATCACCCTTTCATCTCTCTTATTTTCTGCATTATATAAAAATGAAAATGGAAGTTGAATTATCATTCAAACTTCTGTACACACCTGCTTCTGCTTATCATATAAATATACCATCTTACCAACACCATATAAACCAACTTCTCACAATCCCAACAAATCTCTCTCTCTCTCTCTCTCTCTCTCTCTCTCTAGCAAGAGCAATTCAAGAACACAACGAGGTTGAACTTTCTGGGTTAGTATTTTCTTATGTTCCTTTGTTTGTTTGTGTTTCTACCCAACACTATTTAATAAAATGAAATGGAAGCTCTTGTGCTTTCTGCTAGCTGCTGCAGCAAAGTTGTAGGTGTACCCATGATTGTTTGATCTATGTATATTCTTTCGGACTAGACAAATATCTTGTATTCAAGATTCGTCTCCATTATTGTGAGAAAATAAAAAATTTGAAAACACGATTTCAATTAATGAATTTGTCGAATATCTAACAACTTAAATTTTTAGATGATCAGCCTAAAACTGCATGTTTTCTACGCACACACCGTGCTCGCTTGTGACTTTTCGAGAGTCTCTAAGCATTTATTTAGAACACGAGTATGTTGTATGAAAATGTTGTAATAACAAGTTGGATGTGAAAACATCTCAACACAATTGAGGCGTGGAGTGGAATGCACTCAAAGAAAAATAAAACATGCCTAATGTCTAGAAAGGTCAAATTTATACGGCCACTTTTTTGTTCAATATACTTTGTCTAATTACAACATGCAAAGAAGGAGAATGGCCATTGGCCTATGTTTCGATAATCATTGTCTTGTTTGTTCAATTATATATGTTTCGATGTTGCAATAATCAAAAAGACTAAAATATCTTCAGGGCTGCTCATGTTTGGACGGTATTAAAAAATAAAAATAAGTAAACAATTTGTTTATTGCAAAAACTATAGCTCCCTTCCTCGAGACTTGCTCTCTTTAACATATATTTTCATACGAGGTTGAGTATTGAGGAAGATAAATAAAATGATGTTTTATTCAATGTATCGTCTACCTCATCCTGTAATCTCTTTAACGTATATAATTGGCATTCTTTTCCAGGGAAAGATCAAGAATGGAAATGGAGTCATGTGTCCCTCCGGGCTTTCGATTTCACCCTACTGAAGAAGAATTAGTGGGTTATTACCTCAAGAGAAAGATTAATTCCCTGAAAATTGATCTTGATGTCATAATTGACATTGATCTCTACAGAATGGAGCCCTGGGACATCCAAGGTACATATTGATTTGTTCATATATAGGTTAATTATTTCTTGCATAAACTATTTGGTAATTGGCATAAACTTACTTTTAAGTACAACCAAACATTCAATGCCCCAACTATTTACGATAAATATTTCTGCTGATCATGAATAGTTTCAATCCCTTATTACAGGCAGTTGCAAGTTGGGATATGAAGAGCAAAATGAGTGGTATTTTTTCAGTCACAAGGACAGAAAATACCCAACTGGAACTCGAACTAATAGAGCCACTGCTGCTGGTTTTTGGAAGGCAACTGGAAGAGACAAAGCGGTGGTTTCAAAGGCCAAATTAATAGGAATGAGGAAAACTTTAGTATTTTACAGAGGGCGTTCACCCAATGGAAGAAGAACTGACTGGATCATGCATGAATATAGGCTCCAGAATTCTGAAAATGGACCCCCTCAGGTAATTAATTCAGCTCAATTTCAACTTATACGTCCACTTGCATACCGGATAATTTTTTCATCAAATGTCTTACAAGTGCACAATTTTAAATAATGTGTGACAATGAAAGTACTTGATTCTAGGACATTGTTTACTATGGTACTATGTTAAGCTATTTTATATATAAGTTTAAGTTAATAAAAATGGAACTGGGGTCCCATTAAATGTGTTATTAATTAAAATTAGTTATTTACTTTGACTTAAATTTTAATCAAATTTTTTCATTCGAACCAAACATGGGCTTGATTTAAAAATGATCGTCATCGGCCTTGCACAAGAGGAACGTGTTGAATATTAATGGATAAATTATTGTCTATCTAACAACTTAAATTTTAAATATAGTGGTTAAACATAAAATCAAAACACTCCAATTTCTAGAGTTAAAATTTCACTTCTACACATTTATAAAAGTTGTGTACGTGTCAAAATAAATTTAAAATAAATAAATCTATCTTATCTTTAATAATTTAAACTTTCAAATTTAGGTATACTTCACTGATTACAAATAAAAGGTATCCCTTCAATAAGGGTTGCCAGTTTTCGTATTAACTTTAATTATCTCTGTAATGATTTGAAACGTGATTACCATTCTTTTGTTAAAGCACTTTCTAAGGTTGGGATTGCCAATTAAATGCCCTTCACTGTATTCATCACTCCATCAACATGTTTTTCTCCCTGGCATAATTTTTGGAATTCGTAGTCAAAAAACAAGGCTTAGCCCCTGTTTAGTATAGATAAAAATCAAATTTTTGGTACATTTTGATAAAAATTAATGAAATATGTGTTTGAAAAGTTGTCTATGGTTGAAATTAATTATTGACGTTGATTTAGATTTTAATCTATTCTTTAGCTGAACCAAACATGGACTTAACTATTGGTTTCCCCGTGTTGCAGGAAGAAGGATGGGTCGTATGTCGTGCATTCAAGAAACCGACTCCGAGTCAAAAACAAGGTTTCGAAGCCTGGAATAATTCTTACTATGACAGCAGTTATAGGCCTCCATCATGTCTGGGTACACCAAATACAATGCAGACATTTGATCCAATTAATCAAGGAACAAACTTTCAATTACCCTCATCATTTGCTGCAGATCAGCAGCTAATATCCAATCATAATCGTTTCGAGTATCAGCTAGTCGAGCTTCCAAAACGCAATAGCCCATCGATATCTGCGATGAAAGAAAGTTTTGAGCATAATGCTATAGCCTGCAATGAAGATACGGGAGATCAGATGAAAAACTATGATAATCAATACAGCGATTGGAAGAAGTTCGATAAGTTTCTTGCATCACAAGTCATTGATGAACCTCCATCGTTTGCACATGGACAAGTCCAGCTTCCAAAACTCGACAGCCCCTCGACTGAAGAAAGTTTCGAGCATAATACTATAACCTGCAGTGAAGAGGTAGGAGATATGAAGAGAAAGTATGATAATCAGGATAGCGATTGGAAAAACTTTGATAAGTTAATTGCATCACAAGTCATTGATGATTCCTCATCGTGCGCATACACAAACTTGCAGCCATTAGTCTCCCAAAATGATGAGCTTGAATGGTTTCCGGACTTATAGTTTTTTGAGGAAATTTCATAGATTCATCATTCATCCAATGACCATTCTCGACTTCCATCAGAGCTAGGCATGCTTTTTTTCCTAAGATCATAGTACTGCCCTATGTTTGGGTGGATTGAATTGATAATTTACATAATTTTAACTGTTTCTGTTATTCAAAAATTGTAATTTCGTCAATATTATTGGAAACTTTGATTGAAGTAGATGAATTTCGTTTCTTGCAGGTTAATTAAACAGATCTGTCAATATACCTTTACAAGTGTCATAAAAATTTAAATTTTATAGGCCTAGATAACAGGGTGAAGTTTATGTTTGGGATTTGGAGCATGTTGGATTTTTTAATTGGGTTGGGAGGCGAGCTGGAGGTTAAGTTGGGAAGATAGGGTATGTGTGGGCAGTGGCGGATGTAGGTGGTGGCATGAAAGAACTTCTTCTTTTTTTTTGTGTTTTTTTTCAACAATAGATTAAATTTTTACGTTATATTTCTGGTTATTGATCCCATTTTTAAATAGCCTTTTTGCCCAGTTGGTGAGGACGCTATAAGTGGTACAAGAGGTATCTGGTTCGATTCCTTTGTCAAGGGATTTGGCATGTATTATTTTTACACTATAAATTTTTACTAAAATTCAATAGGAAGAGGAAGAAATGAGGATTCGAACTCATGATCTCAAGCAAGGATTGTTGTAAGCTTAATCATTATGGTATCTTTTAAATTGTATCACTAAATTTAACAAAATAATATTTGTTATGTTTTAACTGTTTTAATGCAAACACTTTTGAATATTCAAATTCGCACTCTTCCTTTAAATTATACAAAACTTGACAACAATGTCATTTAATGAGTTCCGTTTATTCTTATAACAAAATTATATATGTTCAGTTTAAACAAAATAATTGTTATATTTATACTTTAGGCCTTGTTATAGTTAGATTCCTATTTTTTTCAAAATATATTTTTCTTTCTTCTTTTCATCCATATATTCTTCAATAAAATAATGTTACACGTAAATTCAAAACTATTCTTTATTTTTAATCACACGTTCTCCATCTAATCACTATTTCAAAATTTTTTTTTGGCAAAAAAATGGGTATAAAAAAGACTCTTAATATTTTATTGTGCCCGATAGTAAATGGTCAATGGTCGCCTGTGCTGACTCAAACTTTTAGATTCGTCCCTGTGTGTGCGTGGATGAAGTTGAGGGCCGGGGAGGGAGATGCGTTTGGAGAGGGGATAAGAGAAGGGGCCGATCTCGGCGGTAGCCTTGGGGGTGAATGGGCTCAAATTTGCCGACGTGGCGTTGAGTTGGTGACGAATTGTGAAGGCGGTGCGGTGGGGGCATTAAGGATTGCGGGCTCTTTCTTGGTGACTGAAGCATAAGGAATGGCATTGGCGGAAGGATTACTGTTTGTTCACGGAATGAGTGGTAGTTGCTGATTCTTGATACAGTGCAACAATTAGTGACGGATCTTCATTTGCGCCGCCGAATGGAATGCTTCTTTGCTTATATTTGAGGGGAATAAGGTGGCCCATGAAATGAACGGCCTTCCTTTTTTATTTTATTTTTTTCTCCAAATGTATTGTCAATTTTTTAGCATAATAATGTATATTCCCCGTTTTCAAGACCATCTTCAGTACTGTATCAAATTTTATATCAAATTAAAATTCATCTTCAACTATTACACTAAAAGTTATACCAAATGAACAGTGTTTAACCATTTTCTTTCCTTTTTTTATTCTTTATAATTTATTTATTTGAAATATTATTTATTTAATTATTTTATAAATGCATAAATTACAAAATAAATAATTACATTAAATTACGGAAAAGATTAAATTTATTAATAAATATAAAAAACATAGTACAATTAATAAAAACACTGTAACAACGAAAACATTAAATCATGCCATCAGAAAATATTACAATGCATTTCGAATTTGGATTGACGATATTACGAAGTCGAAAGATTTTTGCAATTTAATTCTCAGAATTCTTCTTCCAAATTATGCACTTTTTATGTATCCTTTTGTTTAAATAACATTAGATTATCGTATGTATGTCATTGTTTAATATATTTCGTGTTAACTTTAATAAATAATCGTGTCTGTTATATTTTAAATTTTTTTCTTCTTTTAATTAATTTATTAATTATTATTTCTTAGATTTAAAATTTATTTTAAATGCAAATAATAATAATAATTTATTGTATTACAAAATATTTAGCACAACTGATACAAATACCTTTAACAAATTTATTTGAAAAAAGGATAAAAAGGGACAAAAGAGACTTTATACACTTTTGGTATAAAATATAGTGTTGCATTGAAGCAACTTTGTACCAAAAAATAGTACAATTTGATGATTTGATGTTAGCATTAGAATTGCCCTTGCACCTTTCCTTCTGGACGCCACTTTTGTAATGGCATATGAGGATCCCAAGACGTACATCTTAATAAAGCATAATAAATAATAATTATGATTTGAGCTTTAGTATATTATGATTTCATTAATGTTATGGTCTGACTTTTACTATATGTTGTAAAAATAATATTTCCTAGAGATTTTGTTTGAGCCAGATTATATTTTTAGGAATGCATTTTTGAATAGTGTATTAATGAAAAATGTGTGGTTAAAAAATAAAGAAATTTTTTTAATTTATTTGTAATATTATTTTATTGAAGAATGTATTGTTGAAATGATGTCAAATCACTATTTAAGAATGTATTTTTTTTTAAATGTGGCTCAAACATAGCCAGAGTATTATTTCATTTTATTTCTTAAAAGGAAAATAATATTTTCAAAATAAAAAAATTTAAGTAGTAAAATTTTCAGTTCCATTTCGTTAGGGAAATTTACATATATAGAGTGAAAATATGGGGTGAAATGAAAATGTTGATTTTTTTAATATACAGTTTCAACGGACACTTAAAGAAAAATTTGACAATTACAATTTTAGTAATTTTATGACGTGTAGTCATTTTATTTTTTTTGGGCAAACTAGAGTGTAAATTTTTGACGAATGTGTAATTTTTTGATGAAATTACATATATATATCTTTTTTCATTCTTTTTTTTTTTCCTCGATGATGACCATTTAAGTGAGATAATGTTTTTTTGATCTACATATCTTAATATTACCTCCATCGTAATATAATAATACGTGAAAGACACTACAAGAAGGAAGACATAAACCTTTACCTTCATGGAATTAAGAGTTTCAACATTTGAAAATAAGGAAAAGAATAGCAAAAAAATAAATGCGTTTTGTTTAAGTATACTTGCAAGGAATATAAGAGAAATAGGACTAAAAGGTACAATAAACACATTTCTAAAGTTTGTCAAGTCTTCATAATCCTACCATTTTGTAGCTAATTCATGCGGAAAGAGAGTTTTGGAAGTCTCTCATTGTAATCTTTGCCCATATTTCGTATGGTTTGATAAAAATTTAAGTCGAAATTAATAATTAATTTTAATTATATATATTATGGGATCGATAAGTTTTATCAATTATTAATCATATATTTCATCTACTTTTTATTAATATCTATAAGAAAAGTATGATTTTTAGCTAAACCACAAAAGCGACTTTGCTACTTAATTGATATGAATTAAAATCTGAATTTTAAGTTAAAATCCATAATCAACAAATAAATTTAACAATATACTTCATGTGATCCACAACTTTTCAATGATATATTTTTATTAACTTATATCTAAATCTACTAAAAATTAATTTTAATTCCCACCAAATAGAAACTTTTGGAAAAAAGTAGCTTACATTAGTTTTTACGAATGACAAAAAATTACTTATCTACATTAAGCTATAGAGCTTGTCGGTACAAATTTTAAGTTAATTAAAATCAATTTTTTTTTATCGTTATTTCACTTGTCAGTCGGCATTTTTGAATTCTTCTTCCACGATAGAACCCATTTTATCTCTAACGGTAAAAAAATTAGTTATCAAAATTCCTATCAAACAAGCGCATAACTATGCAAAACTAGAAACGATTCTAATTTGTTTCTTATTTGCCTAGACCACGCTTTCTTATCAAGCCACATTTGGCTCCCATTAAATTTCATTTCATTATATTCTATTTTTTTCTCTCTTAACTTGAACCATAGAATCTTTAATAAAATAATATTATACGTAAATCAAAAAATTTTACTTCATTTTTCAAAAAAACATTATTCCACACATTTTCATTTCCAAACGGGGGCCAATTAACAATCTTCCACATCCCAAATATTAGTTTGAATTAATTAATTAATTAATAATATTTTTATTTTTATTTTTATTTTACATTTCATCTATAATATTGATATATAAATATGTGTGTATATAGAGAGAGGAGTATTGAGTTCAGAGTGAGATCCCCATTTTTTATTTTTTTCAATTCTTCTATAATTCTTCTCTGGGGCTTTATCACAAATTACATTCAATTAATTGCTGATCAATCTCAGTGTTCCGTTATATGATGCCCAGCAAAAATTTTCACAGTTTAATCCCTTACATAAATCCTCAAAAATTCTCCTTTTTATTTTTTTGAGACATATTATTTCAAAATTCTGGGCCTAATTTAATGCCCATAACTCACCAAATTCAACCGTGCTTTTGATTCATCTATGTCACCTCGAAATCTGCCCTGAATAATAAATTGCTTTTATTGTGAAGGTTAAGATCAACGAGCTTTTGCGATCGTTGTTCACGTCAAAATTTTCATCCTCTTCCCAATCAATGGCTGCACAGCGGGGGGTACTGGTGGTGGAGATGGGAGGTCGGCAATTGACTAGGGACGAGGCAAATACAGAGTCCCCCACCACGGGGAAAAAGTTCAAGCCGGAGAAATTCCCACTATTACGGTGGGAGTTTGCGGCTGCTTTGGGTGTGTTCTTGGTGTTTTCGACCGGGTTGTTCTGCATCTACCTCGCCATGCCTGCAGCTGAATATGGGGATTTCAGACTGCCCCGCACTCTGTCTGAACTCCGTGTGCTTAAGTAAGACGTTCTTATTTTTGAGCATTCAATTTTGTTCTTTGGCTAATTTAATGTGGTTGTTGATCTCATTTATATGATGTTCTAATGTGGAATTACAGTAAGGATATTTTAATTGGAATTTTGTAGGGGCTGGCTTGAAAGTCACATTCGTCATACCTATGGTTACTGTGACCTTTTTTTGAAAGCTTAACTATTAGGTTTGCCTTGTAGCATGTAGATTATGGTGATATGTTCCCTGGAGAATGAACATCCAGGGAGCTAGAGTACTAGAAATGTGTTGTAGTAACCATTTAGGCACACAATCAAGTGGAGAAAAGATTTTTGCTTTCCCATAATTGAATTATGTTCATTGAATCATATTTTGAAAACAAAATTTGTTTATGTTCTCATCCTCGTATCTTCAAAATCTGTTGTATAAAACAAGAAATTAAAAGTTCACCTCGAATTAATGTTTGAAAAATGAGTATTTGTTTTTTTAACAGTGCTACCACTACTGCTACTTCATGGAGCAACATCCATGAGATATTACCAAGCTGATGTCAATGTATTCCAATATTATACAATTAAACTTGCTTCACAGATCTTCAAATCTTCAGGATTGCACCTTGACGTTGACATTGTAAACCGGTGAATCCTTTTGTATGCTCTTTGTTTCCCAGCGAACCCATCAAACATTAACGTGCTTACAATAGCTTGCAGATACTTTTTAATGGTAGTAGTTGACTCGTTGTCCTGCTATTTCCCAATCTAGCCATACCCTAGAAAAAGGTGCTTCAATGTTTTCAGATTAAATTATAGTTTATAATTTAGCCATCATTTTCTTTAGATCCAAGAATTTTTTTTTTTTTTTCAAAATTTTCTTCTTGTGAATACTATCCTATGATTTCTGAGTATTCTTTTAATTAATTGCAGGGACCATCTTGCAACATTTGCAAAAGATTACCCAACTAATTTCATTCTGGGTTACTGCTCAATATACATATTCATGCAGACATTTATGATTCCTGGGACTATTTTCATGTCCTTGCTTGCTGGAGCTCTTTTCGGTGTTATCAGAGGCCTTTTTTTGGTTGTCTTTAATGCCACTGCTGGTGCATCATCCTGTTATTTCCTGTCTAAGTTTATTGGCAAGCCTATTGTTAACTGGTTGTGGCCTGAGAAATTGAAGTATTTTCAGGCAGAGGTACTTCTTTTTACAATTTATATCAATTTAGCTGCTGAGATATGCCATTCATCTGACTTTCTATAACTTTCAATTTATAGCACTTACTGAAGAGAAATTTTGTTGTTTCAGCTAGCAAAACGCAGAGAGAAATTGCTTAATTACATGCTCTTTTTGAGAGTTACCCCATCGTTGCCAAACCTTTTTATCAATTTAGCATCACCAATTGTGGATATACCATTTCATATATTCTTTCTGGCTACTGTGCTAGGTCTCATTCCATCCTCCTTTATTACAGTCAGGGTAAGACCTTTTTTTTTTTTCGAGTGTTGTATTTACTTATTTTCTCAGTTTCAGACTATTAGCATTCTATTAGACACTAAACCCTTTCAGGCTTATAGATGTTGTTCAACACACGCAGTTATCCATAATTTTCTAGTTGGTTCAGCCAATGAGGAATAGTCAATAACACCAAAATTGTAGGTTAATGTTGCAGATATTGCTATTTTTTCTGTTGAAGAAAATAGCTGAACGTCTATGAGTTGCCATGTGAAAAATAGCAGTTGAGTTGTTTGGTTAGACTTATATAATAGCCTTCGTCCTGGCTGGGGTATTTTCCAGTGCCGTGAAAAGATCATGATGTTTCTTTCAGTATATTTTAGGTATATTGATTGGTTGATCCAATTTGTACTCAAACGATACGAAATTGCTTAGGTTCGAGTTGCAACATTAAGCATTCCAGATGCATGGTCATGTCTTTTTCTGCTTGCTTTGAATGTGCTTAACTGGGTATTTATGGAGGACTTACCCTTATGCTTCAAGAATGGGCAGTTTATATGGGATATGTGTTTTGTCTCTGTCATGCTAGACGTATTTTTCATCGCTACCCTTGCTTGAATCAGGCTGGGCTTGCTCTTGGAGATTTGAAGTCGGTCAAGGACCTATACGATTTTAAGACCTTGTCTGTGCTTTTTCTTATTGGGTTGCTTTTATTACTCCCAACCTTATTGAAGAGGAAGCGAATATATGAATAGAGCTATTGGTGCACTTATGTCTGCCAGAAATGGATCTTTAAGATCATGTGTTGTACAGAATGCCAAAAGAGAATGCTAGAAGTACAATATCTTGTACAACTTGGTTGACAAAGTGGTCAAGTGACGGCCCCCTATTGGAGGGCCGGCTATCCCCACACCCGCCCCTCCAATAGGGGGCCGCCACTTGGCTACTTTGTCAACCAAGTTGTACAAGATATTGTACAAATAGAATAATTCATCTACCTTTGCTTGACTCAAGTTTGATCGAGCACAATGACCAAGACGTGCATGTTTTGTGTTTCTTGATTATATAACATTCCTAAGGTTTAATCCGAAGTTGTATTTCTATATGGAAACTCAAATATCGAAAAACTGAATTCAATATTGCATCTGATTCAAATGTTACCATAGCCATCTCAGGAACATATTTAGTGAAATCATTCTGAGATCCTTCTTTAATTTTGCGGTGGTTGGTTGTCATGTAAATTTGTTCTGTTGAGAAACATCATCTTGATATTGATTAACATGTTAATCACATAATTATGTGATAGTGATAGTGATACTAATTTTTATTTCTAGTTAATTTGGATCATTTGCTTAAATCTATCTATATTTGGTAGTGTCTGGTTCAATGCTATATTTACGAGAAAGATTCAGATTATTTTATAGGTAATTTTTATATTTATTTGCATGTATGCATTCATGTTCTCATACCACTATTAATCTGTTTTAAGTGAATATATTAGTAATTAAAAGATGTGTATTTTTCATATGAAATGATTCTTTTGAATAAAAAATCATTTGCTTCTAGATTTTGTTATGGAGAGTACGTGCAAATTTATACTACAACAAAGCAAGCTTTTTTCCTCAATGGCATTGGAGTCGATTTTTTCATTTGGTTCATTACTATGAGAAGATGAAAAAAATACTAGATTCTTCAGCATTGTAACATGTCAAATTACTTTGAATCTATTCTTTAATCTTCTAATCTATTCTAACATGTTATTTTGTGTAAACTTATAAATAAATTTAACATATGTTTGGTATTGATTAAAATTTAAATTTTTATGGAAGTTAAATTGATCAACAATTAATTTTAACCAAATGTATTTATAGAATTCACAACTTTTCAATTATACATTTAATCAATTGTTATCAAAATTTGATAAAAATTTAATTTTAATTCCCACAAAATAGACTAAATTTACTTATAATCATTTTTTATCATAGGAAAGGAAAGCGCATTTGTACGACAGGTTTTCATTTGAATAAGCTTTGCAATCCTTTTTATCATGCTATTTGCATTTTAACTCTAGATATGTATATTTTCATNTAGATGGGATCTTTAATTCTGCAATGAGCTTCATAATACAAGGAGTCCGCCGCATCGGCCCGACGATGCACAGGTAAATCCTGTTTCGACACATTAGCAAAATAGAACAGAAACATAAATTTAATGAAGCTCGATTGAAGAATGCACACACATATATAAGTAAACAGTTATGCTACCTGGAGCATCTTTCCAATATTACTAGCACCAAAGATTTTATGAACATAAGCAAATCTTTGAGGATTATTGGAAGGAAAATAAAGGGAGAAAATGCAATCTGAAGGGCATCTTCTTCTCAAAAACTTGCAAGCAGCACATCGAGTGGAAACCATTATTTTGTATTTGAATTTTCGAAAAATCTTGTGAAAATCTAGCACAAGATTATGGTTTTATAATTTTTGGATTTGGACAAGGTATTTATATTAAGAACGAGATTTCTTAACGGCTATAATTTTTCAAAGTTTTGGTTTTACTAGGTAAGTATTGAAATTCCATAATGAAAAATGATTAATCCTGGCAAAAAAAAATGCTCCTATCCACCCACAAATTACTTCCCCATATATAGTTTCGAAGGTCAGCATGGAAAATGATACTACAAAGGCTTGTAATTTGCAATCTACACTAATTAATTATAAGAATTCTATATCAAAATGATAAAAACAAATAAAAATTAAAAAAATTAGGAGCATGTTTAGAAAGTGTATAAACGATTTAAATTATAAATAAATAGAATGAGTGATGAATAATAAGTAAAAATAGTACTTGTAAATCTTCCTCAAAATGAGTTAAAAAAAAAAGTGACTCAAGTATTTATAAGTATGTGCCAAACATAAGCTAATTTGCAATAACCTTCATCCTTGTGGATTATACTTACTCCATATGCAAATAACCACAAGATGGCCAAGTTAAGAGAACAATGAGGCACGGATATACAGCTACGGAAATGAAACACTGATTTACAATTTCAAGAATCAATTTTTGCCAAAAGGATCCCAAAGTATATACAATAATTAAAATTTTCAAAAAAAGATAATCAAATAACCTGAATTTGACCTCATGAAGATTTAAGAAAGGAGGAAGTTAAAAAAACAAAAAAAATAAATAAATATTAAGAGAGATGTTAATTAACTAAGGTACAACTGATCGTTGCATCTGTATTATAACAATTACGAATAATCCAAACAAAAAGTAATAGAAACGATAAAACGATATGTCAAGCCCAAATCTCAATGGAAGATGTTCAAAATCAACATATGCAGTATATGGAATGAAAACAGGAAGATGGCTACAAAATGAGCCATGCGACCGCATAGCTGCATGGCCATATACCGAGAACTGGGGCTCAAAAATTTTTACTCCTTGCAATCGCATGGAGTAGTACCATGTGGTCTCATAGTACTTTCTATGTGATCGTTGGTGTCCCTTTTTTAACGTTATGAATTTGAATTTGGTGACTTTTCACTCAACTTGTGGCGCCATTTAAAGTATATGGACGAGGTCTATATATAGAGGAGCCATGATTCAAGGGAAATATAATAGAAAAATATTTGAGATCCAAAATCATTCCACAAAATCCCAGATTACATTCACATTCATTTTCATTTTCTTATCAAGTTCTTCAAGTTTTTGTGGAAAATACTTTGAGTTTTAGTATTTTCTGCAACAAGGCTTGTTACAATCCTTCAAACCATTTGTTGGAATACCTTTAAGCATCTCAAAATATCGGAGAGGGGGCAAATAATATTTGAGGACAGCAATCCTTCGTTCGAGCCTTCAAAATTGTTATTGACAATATTTGTGATTTTTTCATCTCCTTCCTCCAATTCTTGTGCCATCTTCTTTTGTCTCTTCTCCATCCCTTTTCTTATTTCCAACAATTTCAAACGTTATTTTCTGTAATGGAGAGCGAGACAACTATGGCAACCATCAAACTCATGACCAAGACTTGGTGCGATTGGATCGGTTCGATGGCACAAACTTCACGTGGTAGCAAGACAAGTTGCAGTTTCTCCTTATTACGTTGAAGATTTTTCACATTCTAGATCGAGATTGGCGCCATTACCATAACCCACAAGTGGAGAGACTGAAGCAATCAAGGCCGAAAGACAGAAACGCCAAGAAGATAAATTAATATGCTGCGGTCACATACTCAATGCGTTGTTGGATCGTTTATATGATTTATACACAAACACAACATCGACAAAAGAGATTTGGAAGGCACTGGAGAGTAAGTACAAAGTGGAAGAGGAAGGTACCAAGAAATTTTTGATTTCTAAATATTTTGACTTTAAATTTCTTGATAATGTCCCCTTATTTTCCCAAGGGCATGAATTACAAGTAATTATCAACAAACTAAAGGCTGTGAAGATTGAAATTTCAGAGACCTTTCAAGTGGGGGCTATAATTGCTAACTCTTGGGGGTTTTGAAAGGATACCAGAAGAAAATAATGCATAGTTTCGAAGACTATTCTTTAGAACAATTACAAAAAATCTTTGAATTGAGGAGGAATCCATATTGCGTGATAGGAGTGAAAACTCTTTGGACGAAACTTCTAAGGCCAATGTCGTTGAAAAATCTGAACCACCTACGAAATTCAACAAGAGGAAACCTTCAAGGAATTTTAATAAGTCCAAAAAGAAGACCAAATGAGGGTGTTTTATATGTGAAAAATCTGGACACTACGCAAAAGATTGTAAACGCCGAAAGCACAACAACTCTGAAGGTAAAATAAATTCTATCCAAGATGACAAAATTGTGGCTACCATAAGTGAAATAAATGCGATCAAGGGAAAGGTTCCCGAGTGTTGGTATGATACTTGTGCTACTGTACATGTATCATATGATAAATCTTTATTCAAAACATATCATGAAGTGGATGGAGACCAAGAGATTCATATGGACAACAAAGTTCGATTCAAGGTTATTGGAAAGGGAAATGTTGATATTATCTTCACTTTCGGAAAAACTGTTACCCTTACAAATGTAATACATGTTCCGGATATGAATAAGAACTTAGTGGTGATCTTAAGAAAATCGGGTATCAAATATGTGTATGAATCCGGTAAACTTGTATTATCTCTTAAAGGGAAATTTGCTGAAAAATACTATTCTTGTGAATGAATGGTCAAATTATATACTGTTGACAATGTAATAAATAAAGTCGATTTTGCTTATTCCTTTGATTTATTTTCATTATGACATGCTAGATTATGTCATATAGGTAGAAATACTATGAAACGAATGAAAAAATATGACTTGATTTCATATAATGAAAATAATGAATACAAATGTAAAACATGTGTGGAATCTAAGATGGTTAAAAGACCATATCAAAGTATGAAAAGAACGTCTAGTATCTTAGAATTCATTCATACTAATATATGGGAAATGAATGGCATGTTGACTAGGGGCAGAAATAGGTATTTTATTACTTTCATTGATAACTTTTCGAGATATTCATATGTGTACTTGATGAAACATAAAAACAAGGCGTTTATTATGTTTAAAGTGTATAAAAATGAAAATGAAAATCATCTAGAAAAGAAAATAAAGACCTTAAGAAGTGATAGAGGTGGTGAACACTTTTCTAGCGATTTTAATTTATTTTGTGAAATCATGGCATAATTCACCAATGTCCTGCACCTAGGACACCTGAACAAAATGGTTTGGCTGAAAAAAAGTATAGAACCTTAGTAGAAATGATTAATGCCATGTTTATATATGCTAAGTTGCCGTTTAATTTATGAAGTGAAGCTTTATTAAGTGCATGTAGGATATTTAATAGGATTCCTTCAAAACATACAAATGTTTCTCTTTACGATTTGTGGAAAGAAAGAAAATCGAACATTTAATACTTCAAAGTGTGGGAATGCCTTACTTATTGCAAAAACACAAACCCTAATAGGACCAAATTAGGTCCAAAAGGCATTAAATGTACCTTCGTTGGATATGATAACAATAGCAAATCTTATAGAATGCTAAACTTGGAGACCAATGTGATTATCAAATCAAGTGATGTAGAGTTATTTGAAAATTCGTTATCTTTGAATAATGAATTGAGGGATAATCTTGAAAATATCCTTAACTCAGGTGAAACACATGATGAAATATTTTCTAAAGATATTGATGAGTCTTGTGAACCAAGAAGAAGTAAGAGAACTTGAGTTGATAAGTTTTTAGGACCGGAT